GTTCTCCAGCAGTAGGAGGCACAAAGTACATCCTACCAATGGCAGTGCCACGACGACGTAGCTTCCACTTCCTGTGCGTAGCGTCCCAAATGAAGTAGTGAGGGAAGTCAGCATAGAGATGCATGCGAGCGAGGGCTCCGATGGGGCCAGCATCTCGGTTGGCCTGGAAGAACGCCGTCAGGGTTGTGTGGTTGTCGTGAGCGCGCTCGAGGACTTGTTCGTATGTGTCCGATTCAGGGTTGAAGGTGACTATGTTCTGTCCTTCCAAGTGAACCTTGAGCAGGGATGTGTGAGCGGTGAACGTTCAGAGTGTCTGAGGGAAGAAGAAAACATCACGCTACCTGCAGCCTCACTACCGAGGGAGATCGTCCATGTAGTTCAAAGTGGAAGATCCGAGCTGCAGCTTCCGGTGCACATACATAGCGGGAGTCCAGATAGAGCTTGGTTTCGTCCCGCTGAACTTCGAGGGTGATCCGATCGTGGCCCTTGTGGATGTACTTGTTGACGTACTTGACGGTGGCAAAGGAAGTTGCGCATTCGACGTTGATGTGACAGCAGTAGCGGGCGAGGAGGTAGGGATTGTACGGCACAATCCATCGGTTGTCCACGAAGACCCCTCGCTTTTCATAGCTGCGGCCATCATCAGGGCGACAGTAGAGGGGGTAGCCGTCCTCGTCCAGAGTTGTGAAGGCCTGGAATGGCCGTGGAAAGCGCTTGGAGCACTTGCCGTTGACCATGCACGGCAGGTTGGGGTTGACATCACCGCACGGACCGTGGACCATGTGCTTCATGACGAGATCGAAAAGGTGAGGTTCCTTCAGGGGATCGGGCCAGTACGCACGGATACAGCTGTCGATCGCTGTGGTGTTGTGGAGCTTGTCGGGTTGTCCCATCATGAAAAGGGCGTGGACGTGAGGGAGACTGCGCTTTTGCCATTCGTCGGAGTAGATGTAAGACGACACCGTTCCGAGGGCGTTCTTGTGGATGATGTCATGAAAGATCGCCTTCTGCTTCAAGTGGAAGACGCGTGCTATGAGATCTGGTCGGTCAGAAGGCGTCTGGCCTGGAAGAAGCTCTGCCTTGATCTCTGGCCAGTCGGCATTGCATGTGATGGTGACGAAGAAGTCGATAGAGCCCTCTTCACGACAAATGGCGAGAGCATCTTGACACTGCTCATACCAATGACGGGCTCCACCCTGGAAAGAGGAAGGAAGGATGATGCGCTGACCGAGCTGTGATAGGTCGACGTCATGAGCGTCGGTGTCAACGGCCATGTCCTGCAGCCCAGAGTAGAGCTCCGCTCGTATGGTCTGTTGGTTCTGACGGAGGAAATTGATACGGTTTTGCTCAGAGGAAGCCCAAACGTCGACCACATATTGCTGAAACAGCCGGCCTCCTCTATGCAAGAGACAGAAGTCGTCGGAACGGACGTGGAGCTGATATGCGTAGTAGCGTGTCTGTGATACCGTTGTGTGTGGAATCCTTGAACGCGGTAAGTGCGACTCGAAGTCAGAACCCTCTGCGTCCTGTGCGTCTTGCTCTTGGGCGAGAGTGGATGTGTGGGGCAGGGGAGACTCGAACAGGGGGATCTCGGGATGCCAACCGTGTGTACCCATTGGAAACAGGAGTACGTAGTGCAGACATGCATAAGCAGGGTGACAATCGCTGATGCGCTCGAGAGCCTTGGAGCGTTTCCGTAGGATGATGTCTCGGGAGGCATGGATCTCCTCACCGGTTCCAGGCAGAATAACGGCGATCTCGTTAGTGGTAGGAAGGTTGTACCGTCGGCGGTCAGTGGACGGATTAAACCTGAGGCAAAGCCTGACGTCGTCTGATTGTACCTCTCGCAAGATCTCGTATGCGTGCTTGTAGACGGCGGTGTATTGGTGGTGCGATGCGAGCATGTCTTGCAAAGCGCGAAGGGTATGAACGGAGAGGTCTGGATTGAGGTGGGAGCGTGCCAGGGAAGCCTCCTCACCATCATATATGTAGAGCTGCGCATACTCAGGCTGGTGGGTGGGCATGGGGAGGAGAGAGCCAGCGAGATGGTGTATTTCACCTGAGATGCAGAAGACATAGGGACCGTGACCGTCACGAATCGTCTTGTCTACATCTATCCCGATGGATACAAAGGACAGCGCGGCGTTGTAACGTCGTATGTGCTGACGAAAGTCGCGTGCATCTCGGTCGCTGCTCGTGAAAAGATGGCGGAGGAGATCGGGAGTGGGAGGAGGAGAGGGAAGACGCACGCGTCCCCTGTCACAGCAGAGCCCGAACTGAGGAGATGTAGTACGGAACACAGCGAGATGTTCGTCCACCCAGTGCAGCGCACCGCAGAAGGTGCAAGGGACGTCCATGGAGCCTAAGTTGTGGACGACAATGAGTTGTTCATTGTATGGTTGACGGGCTGCGAGGCGGCTGCCATGTGAGACGGTGGTGGTGGTAGTATGTCCTGCCTCGCGTTCAGCGTGCTCGCGCGCACGCCGGATCCTTTGTCCAATCTGGCGGCGTGTGAGATTTTGAGCATGCTCCGAGCGTGTGAGAGGTCCTGGTCCCGGTGTCTGTACAGCGTCAGAAGGAAGATCGATCTTCTCAGGTTTGTATGGAGCGGAGCTAGCGTGGAATCACTCACCTGTGCATCCTTGTTTGCACCAACACTTGATCCAACCTGAATATCCTCTGAGCCTCCCTCTGTTCTTGGAACCCGGTTCTCCTTGTCTCTCAGTGTGCTTTGCACAATGTGCCGTCTTGGCTCACTTGACTCTGCTTCTTCTCGTCGTACCCTAGCAGCTTGACGCGCTGCTTGGTGAAGGTCATCAGATGATGTCTGTTCACTGTCCTCATGAGGATCGCTGTTTGTAGTGGGGTGAGCGACGGAGGGTTTCAAAATCTAGAGGGGATATGAAGGAAGGGACGAAGACGACACACCTAGCTTGAGTTGAGACAGTCATCCAGGTTGGCCTTGATTTATGTAGTGCCTCAAGGAACGTGTGTTGTTTTGTGCATGAATAAGGAGTGAGATATTTGAGATGGCTGAGTAGTGACAGTGTTAGGAACAGCACGGAGTATGTGGACACGAGCGAGGATGGTATGTGTGAAACAGACGCTCATCCAAGGTCGGTCAATGTTGGAGAAACTCATAGACAAGTTTTCTGCCACTTCTAATTGTATGCAGTACCATTCAGGCTTGTAACGCTACGATACATTCAGTACATGATGATCCTAGACTACTACTATGGTGCTGTGGTCATGATGACGATCCGTTCTTGTGCTGCAATGTTACCACGGAGTGCATCGTCGAGCTCGCCTCAGAGGGCTTCACCATTGCCCCAGAGCACCTGCTTTCGTTTGATGCACCTGCTGATGATGTACGCCCTTGTGAGGGAAGGGACGTCGAAAGATCGGAGAAATACTCACTCTTCCACAAAGGTCTTTGGGAGCATGAGGTTGACGATGGGAACGCGGTCCTTCAGGTGGTGTACAGGAACTACGTACAGAAATAGCTGGTCCTACACTACAGCACACCCGAGTCCTAGTAACAATCCATACGAGCATGGCAGTTGCATCACATTCTAACGTAAATGTCGTTGGGGCAGGAGAAACCGGAACCACTTGCCGACCCTCACGCGAGCCCTACGCCTCCCTATGCCTCCTTCGTTCCCCGAGTCAGCTCGTCGAGCCCCTCGTCGTGGCCCCAAAATGCCGAGGATTCACCCGCCAACCCCGATTCGCCGCCCTCGACGGCCTTGTCCTCAGCATTAACCACGTCGGGTAGACCAAGGCTTCGGAGGTATTGCTCCTTCACGACCGTCTCGATACGTTCCGCCTCGCGCTCCTCTTTGCTTCCGCGCCAGAGCACGCGTTCAAGTGTGTGCCGCACGAGCATGCGCACCAGGATGTATCCATGCGAGGCCCCGAGCGCTATGAGGAGCGCGGAGCTGAGCATTTGCTGCGTCGACGAGTCAGGGCTGCTCAAATGGTGATGCGAGTGTGAGAGCGATGTGCCCACCGGCTTGCACTGATTGGCCGGCCGGAATAGATATACGAGTGCCGAGTTCGTCAGCGCTGACAGCCAGGTGAGGAACGTGAGGGCGTCCAGCCAAGGACCGATTGTGTCGGTGCGAGTCGGAATCGGTCGCCGGACGTGTACAGTTATCTTGAATGCGTCAGACCTCAACTCCAACCAGTTGTTGATAAGTGACATCACTGGGTACGATGTAGTGAGCTAACATTGACCCGCTCGGTAGAGTCAGAACCACACACCTGGTGCAAGCGGCCAAATGGTCGACCACAGGGACACATATCCTAACTGCGTAACCATTTCACTGTAGTCCGCGAAGAGGTCGTACGGCGGCAGGGCGACCTCCCCCTTGATACGGTCCATGAACTCGCGTTCCTCGCCTTCCAGCACAGGCCGTTCTGCTTCTGGGTTGCCTGACTGATCCTCGAACATCACCCGCTTCTTCTTGCCGTTCCCGTTGCTACTGGAAGCACCTGCGGCCGGGGCGGCAAGCGAGAGTCTTTTCCCGCTTCGCACAGACGCAACTGCGCGCAGGATGAACGGCAACCCGATCTCGAGGAAGGTGTTCACGACCTGGTTGGTTACCGTGAAGGCGAACATCTGATCTTGCAGACGCTTCGGGTTGAGCTTAGTCCGAGCATTGACGCTGTCTGTTTCCCAGAAGGTCCGGTTCGTCAGCGGGCTAGAGGAACTCGTGACCTTGCCCGTCGAAGTGGTGTTGAATGGTGCCGTAATGTTGGCCGAGATCGAGGTGAGGATCGAGCGTACCCAAGTCTTCGCAGAGGAGTCGTCATGGTGGGTAGACTGATGGCCATGGTTTTCCCAATTGGTGAAGGAGACCGCGTAAGATTGGTAGATACTGAGCAGCCGAGGAACCAAGGCGGTGAAAAGGATTGTCGGACTGAAACCCTTGACGTCCACCCTCTGCTGCGGACTGACTCGGTGAACTCCTTGATGTGTGAGGATCTTGTCGACTTCGCTGGTAGTCGAACGTCTGCGTGATGCCCGTCTCCGCAAAGATCGTCACGCGGGCGGTGCCCTTGCTGCGAGTAGTTGAGCATGAGAATGGAGGACAGTGCACACAAGACGGGAGAGCACGTACAGGAAGAAGTCCCACTCGTTCTGCATCGGGTGCCAGTGGAGCTCGCGCATCGCGCCCGGCTCAATGGTCACTTCGGCGACGGCGATCTGTGTCGAGAGGTTGAACACGGTCGAGTCCGCGATCTTCGCCGTGCCCCCAGAGTACTGCGTCGGCGCCACCTTCGAGAACTTGTACGAGAACGGCTCCGGGATCTGGCCCTGGGGGTCGGATGGCGGCTGCTGGTTGTACGGAGGAGGCACTGCGTGCGCAAGAGGTCAGCATCACAGCTCGATAGGAGGGGGAGCTGAGCTGAGTACTGACCGCCAGGGAAGATGTAAAGCATCTCCCCGGGGATATCATCCCAGTCGGAGATGCTGTCCTCAAAGTTCTTCGCGATGATCTCCTTGGGGAGGTGCGCCATCCAGTCGGTGAGTAGGAAGGTATCATGGTCATTGAAGTTGCCGTCCGGGAGGACCTGCGAGCCGCCGTCATGAGCACCCCAAACTCTATCTAGGTCATACCGAGAAGCGACGTACCAAGAGGAACTCGGTGCCACCCGGGTCGTCGCTCGTGCGCTGGAGCGAGTGCGGGATGCCAGGCGGGAAGTACCAGAGGTCGCCGGTGTTGACGTTCGCGACGTAGTTGCGCCCGAACTGGTCCACGGACGTGATCTGCGTCGATCCCTATATGGTGTGTGCCAGGATGTCAGGCGGCGCAAGGATGTCCGAGTTCTGCTTGTCGATCGCGAGGTTCTGCGGGCCGAGAATACTCGCGCCGAGGGTGCCCCGCTCGGGCTGCGGGTCCGTCGTCGTTGTCTTGTTCCACAGCCAGTCGTTGGGGTCGTCGCTGGCGTAGGGCACGGTCGGGCTCGGCTGGGCGGGCTCGCCGATCGTCGAGCTCGCGGTCTCGGAGTCGAGCGGGTTGACCGCAGTTGCCTCGATCTTGACGAGCACGTCGTCGGGTCCACGTTTTGGGATATCGGTAGTGCTGACGTTGAACTGACCGGGCTTCTATCTGAGAAAGACGGCCTTTTCATCAGTAGCGATGGTGGACATGTCAGCGAAGGTGGTACCATGTGGGTTGGAAATGTTGCAGAGGACATGTCGACGATGGCGTTTTTATACGACTGTGGTTGTGCGACCGGATAGCGAATGAGCGCGTGGAGGAGTGAGGCTGGACGTGGGAGCATGTGTTGATGGGCGAGTGCGAGCAGACGCGATTGCGCGAGCTGCTACAGGAAAGGGTGGATGTGATAGAGGGAGGTGGCGACAGAGAACTGCGTCGGTTTGTAAGCGTGGGCGAACAGAGAGTGCGGATGGGACCGTTGGACGGAAGAGTGTGGATGGAGGTGAAACCGCGGGACGGAGGGTGGCGGGAGACGACAAGCGAGGGGACGGGTGAGCAAGGAAGAAAAGTCTGCCACGCAGGGACATAGCGGACAGAGACATACCTAAGACCTTCGTGCGCGAGGCGCACTCAGTACCCGCGGTCCTTCAACACATCAAAGTTAGGTGGGACCTCGTCTTGCAGTCCTCTTGCAGGCGGTACGCGCCTCCCCGGAGGGGCGGTCGACGGCGAAGGGGCGACCATGGGGTCGTGCGGGGTGGTGGTCATGGTATAAGTAGTTGCTCCGACGCGTCGGCCGACACGTCGTGCTGTGTCACGTGACTGACGCGTTCTGCAGAACCTTATTTTGTTGAACATGAGCGCCTCAGTGTTCGCGTTCTTGCATCGCGCCGTCGCTAGTGTCGCTCGCGATGGCTTCTTCGTGTATGTACCTTCTTTCTGCCTGTTTTCTACTTCTTCACGTTCATCACTCTCGTTTCGTGCAGCAAAACGCCGACGTTCGGACACGGGGAGCGAGGAGCAGACTGTGGTGGATCTCGTACAAGAGTGGTAAGTGGTTCTATACATTGCTACGACGACGTTTCCTCTCGCCGTTGTTTCCCTGGTGTTCCTCCATCTGTCGCCACTGTTCAACCTCTTGCTGAGGACTGACCGCTCGTCTTGCATAGGTTTGGTCCCATCCAGATCCACGATGGAGAGGTCGTCAAGATGGCCGGCGACTTGTGCGAGCTGCTTCTCATGCGCACCAAGGATTCCGATGACCCCCTCCTGGCTCATGTCATTCACAACGACGGCAACAGTTCCTCTCTCCCTTCAACCACTCTGCCGCTGTTCAAGAAACCTCATGTAGTGGTACGTTTTTGTGGAATACGATGTCTAGGAAGACCATGTCCACTCATGATCTGCTTTTCCAGCACGCTGAACGTTCGCAACAACATATCCCCAGCTTCACGCCGTCGGCCGTACTACCGCGCGACGTGTACTCTGAGGTAAGTTTCTCGTGTTACCTTGCTCTTTCTCTTGTCTGACAAGAACTATAGGGCTTTACTATGAAGCGTCCGCCTCGGGCGCGGCGGGCAAAGCAGCTGGCGAAGGACATTGCGTCCGGGCGGCATCACAATCCAGATACCGTTGTAGCACACAACGCCGACATGGTGCACCCGTTGACGACCAAGAGTGGGTGGGCCGGTTTGGATCTCCGGTATCGCAAGGGCAAGGAGTGGCTTCAGGAGCAGTGGGTGAAGCGTTCCTTAGTGCGCTGTCTCGTCCTCGACTTGAAGTTTATCACCATACCGTACAAAGGGTATGATGACTTCAATATATCTTGTTTTTCCTTTGCTCATGTTCTGCAGGAAGTCGGTTGCTATCGTCGATCGCAATGGTTACATGTTCGCTTTTCGAACTGAGGTTCCATCGTTCTGGAATGAGGTCTTCAAGGATGGGAAGCTGTTCTCCGACTGCTTCGGCGGTGAGTGCATGGGCTACATAGTGGCTTGTGGTCCAAGGAGTAAGGACGACGTCGACGCGAACAACCGAGGTGATCATTATGCGATGGTCGTCGGCGTCGACAGGCAAAACAAACCGGTGGGAGTCGTCTGCATCGTGGAGACCTCTGATTGTTAACTCTTTGTGCCAGGTACCAGCTCGCACTAAGTATCATCTGGATCACCTGGCAGCGACACAGGCGTTAATGCATCCTGACACTGCAATATTTCGCGTTGTGTAAGTCCATTGTGTTTCTGCATGGCGCATACTACATGTGCTAATCATCTCTCAGCAAGTTTGCCAGTAGCGTCACTCGCTTGCGCTTCCCTGGGTTTGCACGCAGAGTCGACGACTGTTGTGCGAGCCTCAAGAAACATCCTCTGGAAGCAGTTCGTGTGCTCGCAGAGCCTGACTATGACCTCTACTACAACTTCTGCATCAATGGCCCTCAACGTGACGTCCTTGGTGTCTCGACACAACCTCATGTTGATGGGAAGAACCTTGCTCTCATGGTATGCGCAGTGTTCGTATGGGGTGAGTTTGAATCTTGACATAGAACGTTGATCTTGTATCTCATCTGCCTACCATTGCAGGAACATTCAACCACAAAGAAAAAGCATGGTTGGTGCTTTGGGAGGCAGGACTGATTATAGAGCTTCCGCCTGGCGTCCTCATGCTATATCCATCGTCGCTTTTTATTCACTGCAATGTGGACATGAGCAGTACGTAAGACGTCTCACTTCTATTGTGAGATGACGCTGTTTACTCTTGAGTTTTTCAGACTTGCAAATTGTCACAACTCCGAATGGAGAGAAACCCACTCCTGCCACAGCTTCGCCCCTCAAGGGTGTGCCCGGTCGGGGTTCTGTCGTTCTGTTCAACCAGGCTACCATGTTCCAGTTTGCAGAGAACGGTTCCTCCATGAAGGACGCACGCTCACAGGGCCGTGATACGACATCTGACAACGCTATCCATATTGCTAGCTTGCCTCGAAAGTAATTCTTTGTAGACTCTTGTTTCTCAATTTCTATATAAGAATGTGTTGCAACTCTGAGCGGCCTCAGCTTGTGTACGGATATTTGGACTCTATTTCAGCATGTTTACATAGTTTGATGGCCGTGATGGCCGAGTCGATCTAGATACACAAAAACCCCCTCCTGCGCGAGGACGAGGGAACCCACAAACGTTTCTACCATCTCAGTTGTCTCTGCTACAGATGTCTAACGTATGTATAAGACGACGAGCCGGTGAGACAAACGGGGCGAGCGGGAGAGAGGCGCAAAGACAAACCCCAGCCTATATTATATATAGATAGGTCTTCATCTGGGGAATCGAGATCTAAATGCTTTGCTCGTGAATGCATCGAGAACTCGTCCGGCGATTGCAGCCCTACCGAAGACGAAGACATTGAAGGCTTCGGGAGTATATGTGAGTAGCAGTGTGTGTCTGTGTTCCACCCGTTGGGGGTTAGTGTCTGGAGTGCATTCGAGGGGGCGATGCGATTGATAATGCGGACTTCCACACCGCCGGCCAGGGACCCGAGCGATCGTCTTGCAACTCGGGCACCGGGGCACTCCATCGCACTGGAGTCGAGCTTGCGTCTGCCGACCGATAACCGAGTGTGCTCATCGCTCGCCACCATCAGCCTTGGACGAACGGTGTCATGAGATTCTCGATGGCAGTATGCCGGGTGCCCACTGATGCGTCGCTACAAATGTCGCTGCATACAACGTACCGACCATCGCGCTAAGGTCTTGGGTCAAGCACTGCAGTGGCAGATGGCTGGCAGATGGTGGAGTCCGCAGGTGATGAATTTACTTGATGGACGTCCGATGACGAGCTCGAGGCTGCCGAGCGTTCCCGATAAGTATGGAGAGCGGTGACTTGCAGGACTCACCGGGCTGCGACTAGATCATATTATTGTCAGCCACGGATTTGATCGATTGCTGTATCGAGGGCAAGTTCGAAGCAAGCCTGCAGTGAGGCACGCAACTTGAACTTGGCACGGACCGGCGTTCCTACTGCATCCACGGTTCACGGCCCCCAGTGAGCCACGGATGCGGAGTCGCGCTGGCGTACCTGGTGTTCGAGCATCAGGGCGAGGCACGCCAGAACCGCGGGGCCGTTGGGCAAGCTTCGATGGTGTGGTTACTACTGGAGCTGTGAGCGTCTGGCCATGTCCGAGTGCAGAGGAGGTAGGAGGATATACGTATTTGATAGGTTTCCAACGCTATATATGCGTGCGGTTGCCTGGCATGAAGATACTATTAGTATGGTACCTGTTACAGGAGCGATTAGCGGTCATGTTCGTACGTCCACTGCCTGTACCGAATCCTGAAATACGTGCGTCATATTTGTCCTGACCGCCCCTCATACCAGAACTGACACAGAATACTCGCACGACGTTGAGGGATTCGGTTCTAGCTAGCGACTCGGCTTCCACTGCTGACGCGTGCTACCGAATCAAAACCTGCCTGCCTCCAATGCAGCGACGTACGTGCCACGGTTGAGGCAGGAGACCTTGGCCCAGCTACCTGGAGAGCTAAGAAAGAAAGGTCGCCCGCCTAGGAACCATACCTGCAGGTCGCGACTCGCCCCTAACTTCAGCCAGGCTGTAACCTAATCGCCCACAAACGACGTCGGTTCACGATGCATGGGGTAGCACGAAGCGAGCCGCACGAGTAGGACATCTGGCCGAGACATGCTACGGAGGCAGCATGGCTCGAGTCCTGGCGATAGGGCGGGGGATAGGACGCAGTAACTATGTACTTGAAGTCCCCGAAGACGGATGTGCGGTTGTTTACTCACAATTACAGCGGGGCGGCAGATGATTTCATTTATCCGTTTGTCGTCGATAGCGTCGAGGACTCTTTGCGTTGTGCTGCGCACATGAGGCGAAAGGACGAGTTTACGAAGCGCCGAGTACATGGGTCCGGGTGACTTCGGTCCGACGGTCCCGAGTCCGCGCTCCGAACACGGCTCTTCCTCCTCCTCCTCCTCCTTCTCCTCCGTGAACATCCCTGACCGGGCATCTCACGACCTTCGACATCTTCTGCATCAGCACACACACACCATTCAGTCTCAATTGT